TATCGTGCATCCCTAATTTAAAGTAATTTTTGTGGTGTCTGTATTGGTGTTTGAATATTCCAGTAGCGTCTCCTGCTTTAAAAGCTGCCAACCGGTTGGTTTAACTAAAACCCTCTACAGTCAACAGAACCTGCTTCTTTAATGTCGTTTCAGATGACAGCAGCTGATAATTCATTCATTAATCTGGAATGTGCAACATTGGTTTACAGGAAATTAATCTCTTATTCTAGTTGGAAACATTTATTCTGAGGAGAACGGCTCTTAAAGCTTCTCAAACGATGTTTAATTCCTCCACCCTAATCTTAGCTTTTAATACAGAACTTTATTTCAGTCAATAGACAATAATAATAATAAATGTGCAATATAATTTTATTCAGTGACATGCGTAGTATTTCTAATTAAAGATACATGTGAAGCTACAGGAGGAGCTGGGATAGAACGTATTGATGGACAAAATATTTAAAGATGTTTATGCATTTGTGGTGTAATAACTGCTCTGTGATGGTTGACCTGTTGGCTAACAGAAACTCAACACTCCAGTTAAAGATGAATCGGTTTTTAAATTAGTTGATGATTATTTCAATGATGGATTAATCAGGATTTATCCACCGGACTGTTGCTGTTCAGGTGTTTCTCCATCTCTGGTCCTTCATCCTTAAATCACTGATCCTTCTAGGTCGAACCAGGAGGAGGGCTTTGTAAAAAAGAAGCAGAAAATAACCAGAGCTGATATGTTTCTCTGATGATTAATCCGTTCTTTTTTATTTTTTCCCTTTTTTCCCCCCAGAGTACGGCCTCCGTCTGGGCAGCCAGCTCTTCATCAAGGAGATGACGAGCACCGGACTCGCTGGTAGAGATGGAAACCTGAAGGAGGGGGACATTATCCTGAAGGTACGCCTTCAGATAACCGCTAAAGACCCATCCGTCACAGAGCGTTTTATCTGTAGTGTTTAATGAAGTGCTAATGAAACCAAGAAAAGAAATTAAACAATGGGAAGTATGTGTGCTTGACTAGAGGTGGAAATTTCAGAAGGAAGACGTGAGATAATTTTTAGGTACAATATTATGTTTCATAGATTAATTAACAATGGTTAACAATCAGAAAATGTAAGGCTAGGTGCGCGGTCTCTGGGAATCCCCAGCAGCAGCTGCCTCATCCCCGCCGCCTCTTTGATGTTTCCTCCTACTGTTGGCGGCGGCTGGAAGTAGATGTTAGTGGGGTTTTTTAGGTATGTGGTACAAACTGGAGGCGCCAAGATAATAAAAGCAAACATATTTTGCCGACAGGTTTCAATATTTGAAGTTAATTTAGGCGTTAATGAACAGTTTCACTGGAGTGATCAAAGGGCTCTTCATCAGCAGCTGTGTGTCTCTGCCTTACTTCCTTCCTTGCTTCCTTCCCTGTTTTATTACCTTCCTTGCTTCCATCCCTGTTTATTACCTTCCTTGCTTCCTTCCCTGTTTTATTACCTTCCTTGCTTCCATCCCTGTTT